TTTTTTGTAACAAAATATCGATTTCTGCTGTCCCTGTATCGATACATTATTAGCAAACAAAATATCACCATACTACACAGTATCGATTTTTCCCCCACCCCTATAATGCACTATATAACTTAATTACTCCCACGAGAAAGTAATTTGTTACTTATGTGTTTCTCTGCAAAATGTCCTGAAACACATTGTCTCGCACTTGTCATTTACAAATATAAACCTATAAGCTACAGTCTCACACACCAACACATCCTAATGAGAACACACATGATCTTTTCCGTAGTATTTAGATATTAATACAATGCAAAGATGAAAACGAGCACAAAGAGACTTTAGAGTGATCACCACAGTGATTGTACTTTAGAAACATGAGTGGTAGAAATGGAGGGTGCAGCCTGACTGCTCATCACTTTTGTTACCTGTTAAAGTTCGTGGTCCGACTGCCTGGCTGGGGTCAGCATTCTCTCAGCATTACCATCACCGTGGGTTCTTGGCTAGCTTATTCTAATTTAAATTAATTTAATGTAACTAAGAGTATATTGATATGTACTAATGTCAGGGCCACCAGCGCACGTCAGGACGCCACTGGAATGGACATCACCAGCCGCTGTACTCTGGGGGACCCCAACAAGCTCCCTGAAGGGGTCCCCCAGCCTGCACGCATGCCCTACGTCTCAGACAAACACCCGAGGCAGACCCTGGAGGTGATCAACCTGCTGAGAAAACACCGGGAGCTCTGTGACGTGGTGCTGGTGGTGGGTGCCAAGAAGATCTACGCGCACCGTGTGATCCTCTCTGCCTGCAGCCCCTATTTCAGGTATGAGGAGACACTGTGTGATCCCACATCAGGCTAGTTTATTTACAGCTTAATTCCTGGTCTCCAGTGATTGCTGTGGCACAAAAAACAATGTCATCTTTCTTTTTCCCGTTCTTCTTCAGGGCCATGTTTACTGGAGAGCTGGCAGAGAGCAGGCAGACGGAAGTGGTTATTCGTGACATTGATGAGAGAGCCATGGAGCTGCTGATTGACTTTGCTTATACATCACAGGTAGGGATGGTAGCATGCTATTAGAATTAACCACAGGTGCACATTAAGTTTAAAAAACAAAAAGACAAACTGATGAAACTGCATATTGAATGTAAAAAAACCTGTTGTACCCAAAAAGTACAAATCAGGAGAGCACAACCTTTGCAAGCGGCTTTATTTCCTGCAGAGTACAGTAAGGTCTATGTTTCTTGGCTATAACCTTGACTATAGCAGAACTTTCTCAAAAGATGTGAGGAGACTGACATGGAGCCACAGTTTGAATGCATAAAAACGGAGGAGCTGTGGAGACCACACATTGTGATCAATCAGTTGCTAAAGCTAAAAAACTCAGTGTATCTGATGTCCTGATCTGCACCCTTTCAGGTGACTGTAGAGGAGGGGAATGTCCAGACGCTGCTCCCTGCAGCCTGCCTCCTCCAGCTTGCTGAGATCCAGGAGGCATGCTGCGAGTTCCTTAAGAGGCAGCTGGATCCATCTAACTGCCTGGGCATCAGGGCCTTTGCTGACACACACTCCTGCCGCGAGCTGCTCCGCATTGCAGATAAGTTCACCCAGCACAATTTTCAGGAGGTAAGAACCCACATACAAGTGTTCACGGTCGCTATACTATACTATCGCTGTATAGTGCTACATGTTACAATGCTTCTACATGTTGCTTTGGATTGAATGCGCAAAATTTACATTTAGGATATAAAGATTTATTTCTGTCGTGCCATATGCGTCTGTTATAAAAATGGTTTACATTTGTAAATGATCTAAAAGTGCTATATCATGGTGTTGTTGGTATAGTAAGGCCATACATTTACGTTCTGTGGTGCGCACAACAAGAAGACAAATGCAGGTAAAGACGACAGTTGGAGCTACTTCAAAGCTTCAGACTTTAAACCAACAAATCACAGTACATAAAATAGAAATCGGTTCCTGCTAAAGGTGAAAGCATCACTTTCTCCACTTCAGGCAAAAACACACTGTCAAGTACAAACAGGCTGTGAAGGTGCAGATACTAACAGCTGGTGATGTGCAACCCAGATGTAACTGCATCAAAAACAA